ACACAAAGAGAGAGAGAGATGCCTTACTTCAGGACAAATTTTATAATCCATGTCTTCTCGATTTTTTACACAACCAACAAATTAGGGAATCTGCGCGGTTGAAGGTGAAAACGACTACCGTGGTGAAGATCAATGACGGATGCAGTAGAAATTCACGATAACTGCTGAATCCTGAGCTCGCATTGAATTTCTCTTTCTGCTCTGTCAAGTCCTCCGTCAAGGTTCCGAGTTTAACCTTCAGGCCCTCCAGCTCCTTTATATTGCCAACTACGTTCGTCTGTTGCATATCACTCAAGCTGTTATTTACCTCATTGAGTCTCATTGTGATGTTGTCATTCAGTGTCAGGTTCAGCTTCGGTTCTACATAGGTATTTAGATCCATCCTGAATGATTTCTGGACTTTAATACTAAAGTCTGCGGTGACCACTCCACAGAAGTATTTGCTATTTGCAGGATACCTGAGTCCTGTAGAACGTCTCGTGTTTGCTTATCTCCGCATGTACCGGTGATACCTTCGGTCTTGGGAGCTACAGAACCACGCGTTACTTTTCCGCATTTTTATCAGCAGCAGGCGTTTTAGCTGCAGATGCTTTATTGTGCATACGTTCGGCATTTTGTTTGGGTTCAAATACATTTGGACCTCACAAGGGCTGGAGTCTCGAGTCATTTACCCTGGTAATGACTCGGTTCGTAAATATTGCCCTTAAATTGCTTTGCTATTTCCCAACTGTTCTGGGGTCATTCGCACGTATTGCTACGTCGGGCTGTGCATCACCAGGAACTCGCTCGGTACCTCCACGTATGAGTGATACTTGTCAATTTACCGCACAGGAATTCTCTGCATCAGCATAACGTCGAACACTTGGAAATCTACCAGCGGTACTGCCGTTAACGAGAGAATTTTCGTATCTAATGCGGAAATACTAATGGTTGAAAATCTTTGTAATTTATGCATTCCGCGAACTACTATCTCGAATGGAAAACTTAATTTCTTTGGTAGTTTTGCCGTGCAGAGAAGAGCGACTAGGTTAGTCTCCATGAATCCTCTGGTGTCCAATATCAGTCCTTTGGATTCGGTTAGGAGTTTCTTCATTTTCACTGCGTCTTCTCTTACTCTTCCGTATAGATAGCTTCTAAGACTAGCAGCTGCTCATCTATTTTTTGTCTATGATTTATCTGCAAGTTTTCCACTTTTATTTGCTGCATTGATTTCAATAAAATATTTTCGTTTTTCTTGATGATTTCTTCGGTGTGTCTCAACTGGAAAATTGTCGAGTTGACAATCTTCAGTTGCTCCGTGGAACTATCCAAAGTTCCCTTTACTCCATTTTCTGGGTCTGTAAGCCTTTCAAATAATTCGTGGCCGTCCTGAGCGTCCATAGTCCCGAAACAAGGCTTGGCAACAGCGCCTAAACCATCAATAAGGCCTCGGCGCTTCTTATTTACATCGTTTAAGCCCAATAATCCAGTGATGACGTCTCTGGTATATGCGAAATCGTTGATCCATTGCTTCACTATTAGTTAAAAATTATTTTCCCATGGACCTGCTTTGTCACAAAGCTCTTTCGCGTGAATTAAATATTCCTGAAGTTGATCAGCTCTCGCTAGTCATGGTGAGACATCTGTGCTCACAGCTATGGACTAAACCTGGGTGCTGAGATAGAATTTCCCTATTGGCTCAAAATGAATTCCAGGCGTCTGAACGAATTTTTCGATCGCATGCACCTCCTTCCCGCTCTTGAGCCGTCATTGTTCCTAGCATGAGCAGTACAGGAAACAAAAATGCTGATTTCAAGAGTTTTGCGAAATCGAAGGCTCTCGAACTCGGTGAACACGTTGATACGGAGCCATATGGACTTCGTCGTTAGCTCGTTGGTGGCCATTTTTATTGACGTACCCTCGAATACAAAAGCGTTGTGTGCTCCGAACTTGTCACAGTTCTGTCCGCAGCTCCGATTAAGGAAATCAACAGGAAATCTCTGAAGATGGAGTCAAGAAGGTGCTTCAAGTGTAACAAGTTGGGCCACTTTGCCCCGAATTGTGTGTTAGCGTGCCTGGATTGTGGAATTATCGGAGAACATTCCTCTCGTGATTATCTGCGTCGGGCCGCTGGTGCTTCACTTTCAAGCGACGCTGGTGCTTCAACGTCAAGGGCTACGAGATCACTACCAAGAGAACGTTGCAACCTCCGAGACTGGACTGTAAAAGTTCGGACCAATCTTGCTCGACCTATCAGAGCTGTAAGATCTCGTGGACATCCGTACCTACGCCATGCAACCGACGTGTTGATGTTTTCTTTTTGGGTGAGTAACCATATCATTTCTTTCATTTTTCCCCGAGATACTATCAACTTCAAATTGTCTAATTTTTCCACTTGTGCTTGTTGCAGACTTCTTCTTATCCGTATCGTCACGGATACGTTCGCAACGGGTACAGGAGCTTTATTGCTCGATGGAGGAATTGCAGTCGAGTGGACCTCAACGCCCTGTGGGACACCAGGGTGATCGAAGACGACCATGAGGACGTTGTCAATCTCCGTCTCCTGTTTGGCGAGATCCCTGCTCCTCAGCCTTGCCACGTACCCCAATGGTTGGAACGGCCAGACCACCTGTTCTGTTTGCTGGGACTATTTTTTTTCAAGTCCAACCTATTTTTACCTCGGCTGGAGCTGGCATCAGTGTTATGTCGACGCATCTCATAAACTCACTTATAGCCAATCTTTGGGCGATTCTCCCAATCAATGAATTTTTTGTATTTAGACAAACAAAATGTTAGTTCACACTTGTTACAGAGATAAGAATCTCCCTGTTTCCGTAATAAATTTGTGTCAGTGTAATTTTATTTCGAGGCTGGGGTTCATATAGTCATGCGACTATAAATGGACACAGTCTATTAACATGGACCCTCTGAGTTCTCTTCTTGCTGCCATATGTGATCGTGTCATTTACGTCAGAATTCTTCCCGATTAGATCGTAAGGACCGACCCAGGGTTGTGATAATTTCTTTGATCGTCCTCGTCGCAGAACTTCATTTTTCAGCGACACTTGATCTCCAGCGCTGAATTCCAATTCTTCAGAATTTTTGTCATACTGGATTTTCGATTTTTCCTTGTCTTGGTCGACTTTCTCCTTTGTCTCTTGATGCGCTGCTCGTAATCTCTCTCCAAGTTCCTGGACAAAATCATTGTAGCAGTACGTCAGACGTGGGGGTTGCTGGACGGCTGTCGGTAACTCAGCGCGTCTTCCAAACATCAACTGAAATGGCGTCATCTTAATCGCCGAATGAGGAGTCGTGTTGTATGCGAACATCGCATACGGCAGCCATGTGTCCCAATCCGTCTAATCATCCGCAATGAAACTCCCTAGGTACTCAGCGAGAGTACGATGAGATCTTTCCACAATTTCATTTGTCTGGGGATGATACGCCGTGGTCTGGATTTGTTTAATTTTCAATAATTTACAAACATTTTTTAAAATTTCTCCAAGAAAATTTGGCTCCTGATTCGTGAGTAATTTTCGTGGTGTTCCATATTCGCACACAATTGTCTCTGCGAATGCGCGATCTATCGTATTAGCCTCTTGGTTCGGAATTGGAATTGCTCTGCTGAATTTCGACAGGGCGTCCTGAAACTCTCCCCTCTCTGGACTCTCCCCGAAGACCATTTGCACCTTCGTAGCTTTTCCCAGCTTATTTAGCTGACACTCCTCGCAGGTCGCCACGAATTTCTCCACATCTGATTTCATCCCTTTCCAGTGATACTTCTGACACAATTTTGCGTACATCCGTTTTGCCCCGGGATGTCCTGCAATCAGTGTATCATAGTATTCCTGCAGAATACTCATGATTTCATCATCAGTGGGTGTAATGACCATGTCGTTGATCGAGTGCTTCCTTTTCTGATTTCGACTGGGCTCGGGTTCACACGTTGATACGACTGAGCACATCGGCGTTGATATTTAACTTCCCGGCCTTGTGTACAGTTAGGGCCTGAAGTGGTTAACACCCCAAGTTACAGCCAATAATTCCTTTTCTATTGTGCTGTGATTTTGCTCTGCCTTATTTAACGTTCTGTTGGCATAAGCGATTGGCAAATTCTTGCCTATTTCTCTCTGGAAAAGTACAGATCCTATGGCTTTATTTGAGGCATCTGTAGTCAGAAGAAAAAGCTTCTCAAAATCAGGATACTTCCTTTAAGCTCCTAACTGCTGCTGATTCTCTCTCCGCCAGGTCCACGAAACGTTTATTTTAGCAGTTCGGTGAGTGGTGTAGCCATTTTCGAAATATCATTCATGAACTTTCGATAATAACCGGCTAAACTAAGGAAGGATATTACTTCCTTTTCATTCTCAGGCTCTGGAAAGCTCGAAACTGCCTCTATTTTACTGGGATCAGCCCTAATACCATCTGCAGTGATGATATGCCCGAGATAAACAACTTCTTTCCCCAAGAAATTGCATTTATCCGGCTGGAGTCTGATATTTGCCTCCTTCAGCCACTGTAGAACCTCCAGTAGTCTCTTATTATGCACTCGTAGACTCGAACCGAAAATCACGATGTCATCCAGATAAACAAAACATCTTAATCACTGAATTGCAGCCAGTACGGAATTCATCAATCGTTGGAACGTCGCTAGGCCCCCTTTTATCCCAAAAGGCAGACGATTGAACTCGTAATGTCCATATGATGTGGAAAATGGAGTCTTGCATTTATCCTCCTCTTTCACGGGTATTTGGTGAAAACCCGAAGCCAAGTCCAACGTTGAAAAATATTTTACGTTGCTCAATCTATCCAAAATATTGGAAATATTAGGCAGCGGGAATGAATCACAGTGACCTCATTGAGTCGTCGAAAATCGACAACAACTCGAAACTTAATTCTCCCCGAAGCATCCATCTTCTCTGGAACGAGCAACAGAGGGGCATTCCATTGACTCTTACTTGGTCGGACCACTCCGTTTTGCAACATCTCTGTGATTTGACGGTCGAACTCCCCCTTCCTTTGATTGAGGCAATCGATGAAGTCGAACGTTGATTGGAATCGTCCCAGGTTTCAATGGAATCTCACGTTCCAGGTGATCTCTCATCCCTGGAGCATCCTCTGGCAACTGTAGAATTGAGTTGAATTTCTCTAAAATCTCCAGCAGACTTTCCCGTTCCTCCTGATTTAGATGCTCAATCGGAAGATTCTTGTGTAACAATTTGATGCGATCTTTAATTACGACTTTCTGCGAATTTCACAGCGTCATAATATCGATTTCAGTGGCTAACTCTTGCAATTCAACCACTGGTAAATCGACAAACTCGTCTGTCTCATTCGTGTTGATTATACACACACGTGCAAAACCGTCCACAATTTTAGTCATGCACTCTCCCATAAAAATGCCTTCCGTCAGTTTCTTCTTATGGACAATTCCTATTCCTTTGCTGCACGTCGGCGAACTAGAGTCTCTGTCCTGTCCTTTATCCTCACAGGTTTCTTGTCCTCGAACAAACCGAAGCGATGATCATTTATTATCAACGCTTCTCCATGAATTGTTTCTACTTTTAAACTTGGAAATGACAGGAAATCCTCTCCTAGAATTCCTCCAATACATGGGAAATTTTCCGGGACAACCTGGAATTTGTGTCCTAGAATTTCCTTACTTACTTGCAAGTAGAGAATCGCTTCCCCCAGAGTCGGAACGTCCTCATCGGAAATTCCTCTCAAAAACCGCTGACCTGGTGTTATTTCCTATTTTTCGGCCTATTTATTGATTTTAATCAGAGACGCCTTTGCCCCTGAATCTGCTAAAAACAATGTGGGTTCCTGTAATTGATCAGCTGATAGTAAAATCTGCGTTTTCATTTGCGACGATTCAACTGGAGATATCATACGCCGCTTATATTGGTGTCACCTTCTCCGATTATTTCAGTGGTATGCACCATCATAATTTGATAAGCTCCAATTGGTTGAGTCTTATTTCCTTCCGCACTATTTTTATCCTTGGCTCCATTATTATTCTGTGCATTTTGTTTTTCTCCAAACACAGGCTTATTAGAGGTGAAACTGAATTGTTTATTCACCCCAAAACTGACATTCGAGGTCGGGAATGCCCAATTTATGCTTCAATATATGACAGTCAGCATAACTATGGGCCGCATATTTGCAGTATTAGCAATCAGCGCCAAATACGTTAATGCTTCGACGTTCCGTTGCCACTGGCAATGATTTTCATTGCCTTACTTGCGAATTTCTACAATTTTTCGCAAGATATCCGCAAGCTTGACCGCAAGAAAAACACCTCCCCATGGACTGACGAGCTAAAGAAGACTTGCCGCCTCCAGTGGAATTCGTATTTTGGCCAAAGTTAGCCCCACTTTTGCCCTGGTTTTGGGCAAGTGTTTTCTCCAATGCCCCAGCTCCTGTGCAAGAGTCATGGAGTATTTTAAAATTGTTTGCTCTCACCAGAATCTGCAGTTGACCTCATAATCCTTGCTCGAACATTACTTTCCCCATAGTTTCCAGGACCTTCGTAGCTGCCTCTTTCTCCCCCTGTGAGAGCTCTAGAGGCAGATTCAATAGACCATTAAGATAATCCATTGTTATCTCCCCGTGCGTTGAAGAAATTTCCCAACGTCCTCATTTTCGCGTTGTTACAATTTACTGAACTCAGCTTGCAGACCGACGACATTCCGCGTCTTCCCAAAAAGTGATTCCAATTCACTTTTCAGCTGCTGGAATGTTTTTACCATGCGATGTTTCAATTGTTTATGCGCGGTACCTTCCAATTTACTTCCCAAAATTCCATCTCAAAGTTGATTCCCCAACCCTGGACGCCAATCTCCTAGCGCCAGCCAAGGAATCTAGAAAACAATCCAATTTATCAGAACCATCCACGGTAGAGACCTTTATTAAATAGAGTGCGCCCTTCAAATCTAGAAAATCTGATTATGAGCTCCGGTTCCGATGATTCATCTGCTCCTCATACGCATCCTCCACGGGTACCTTGTGCTCGTTCCTCTGCTTCTCAGCCTCTAGACGGCGTTGTCTCTCTTCGGCGATCCTTTGCTCTCGGATATCTATTTCTCGCTGAAGCCTGAGTCTTGCTTCTTCAAGAGAACGAATTCTCTCTATAAGCCGATTAAAGGCAGGATTATCTTTGGAATCTGTCTGCTTGGGAAAATTGTCCCCATGATGTGTGGAACTAGCCCTGAATCCTCCTACGTTAGTAAAAACGTTGGACGATGTAGAATACTGTGCATTATGGGCCTCCGTTCCTCCTCTGGATAGTTTTCAATGTTATCCATCCCTTCCTGTGGAATAACACGCACAGGACGACTTTGACTGACCGAAGGGTTGACAGGACCAGGCGTATTTTGGGTGTCCTATCTAATGGCTGCGACACCCTCTAGCAGCACGTTGTGACATTGTCAGCTATTTTCAAAAATATCTGACAATGTGGAAAGGTGCGTGTTGTGACAACAAGTAACCCTCGACGTAAATTCTCTGATCTCTTGAATAATCAAAATATATTTATTCCGACTATGGCGGAAAACTTGATCTCTCTCTCAGTTTCTCAGTCCAGTTTGGGTTTTTCTCACTCCGATGACCTATGAAACACGAGTATAAGGCCCCAGTTTACCAATTTGTTGTCACCAGGGCTCGTGTCCACCACTGTTCTAATTCGAAGGACCAGGAGTGAGGTTCACGGATCAGTAATAGCGAGAAGAATAAACCGTAGACTCGATTAACCAGAACGATAGAAGGATATTTTCCAAATAAAAAATAACAACGTAAAGTAACTGAGTATAATCCTCCGGAGGTGAATACAATTTCCAGAAAATGAGCAAAGGTAAAGGAAAAACAAAAGAAAAATCGATTGATCCAATGCCATTCAATGGATGGACTCAGGTTACCAATGTCTGGTCCAATTAATTCAAAAAAAGACACCAAAAGTCATTTTTAGAACCTCTAAGTCGCTCTGACCGTAACAGCCTTTAAACTTAATCCTACCAATATTACAATTATCAACCTGTATTAATTATAACAATTCTCCGGTCCTACGCATTGAGATTCGGTCGGAGAATTAGGTCTTCAAATGAAGTATACTTAATCTAGGAGAAGAAGACCAAGCGTAATTTATTGCGACTCAAACAATACTAGACTCCGGCTCGAACCAGGAAACCAAGTGCTCGACACAATTCAATTCGTCGACGGAGAAATCTGGAAATGAACAGACCCGACAATTCCGGCGACGCGACTAGAAACCCTTGACTAGGGTCTGAGGAGACTAGAAGGCCCCAGTAGAGAGCCCGAAGCCTCCCAGGACAATAAGAACTAATATCGCCGCGAGTCTTCACCCAGAACCAAATCCCTCTACCCGATATCTTCTCTACCATAACCTCCAGAAATAATTCTCAGACCGATAAATACCTATAGCACTAGTCTCGACCTGATATCTCTATCCAAATATCTCGGAAGACGCCGGCGCCTATAAATTGTCCTCAATACGCTAAAAGAGATTCCTTGTGCGTACGATTGTCTCCGGAAGGCACTCCAGTTCCCGAATTCTATGACAGAAAACCCAGATCTCTCGAATGGCGTCGGTCGCGCACACCAGGCAGCACCTGACACACCAAAAATGCCTCACGTTTCCCCGAGACTCGAAAACGGTAATTTTCCCCCTCGAAGAGGAGGGCAGATGGCCCTACGACCCTTTCAAGACTATCCAAAAATTAACCGAACGGTGCAGCACCAACCATTTATATCAAAATATACTCGAGAACACTCACTCAGCCCCAGCTCACCTACGTACGTGGTTTCCCTCCGGGGATCCAACGCCTGTTGCTTCTCGGCGTTGAAACTCAGCAAAATCTCCCCAAGTCGCTCCAGAAACTTTCCAGAAGGCTGTATGCAGCACGCCTTTGGAGTCGTGAGGTGTGGGAGATGGGATGGTACTGTTTCCGTCTGATGGATTGAGGTTTTCTTCGGTCCCGGGGAGTCTCTGGTCTGCTCCCGCGGGGCGACCTGGTCCAAGGGAAATTCCAACTATTCAGTGTCTAAATGTTTGTACACGTGGTCTCTTAATTTATCCAATCTGCTCATTCGATCAGACCATTCGGAGTGATTACCAGGTTGCAAAGTGTTAGGTTTCTCCACCATGCGACGGACTTCATGGATAGGCGTAAGCGCTCGGCCGAAATTCAAAAAAGCAGGCAAGAAACCGGTGGAAAAATGAATCGCGGTATTTATTGCGTACGCTAACTCCGGTAATTTAAGATCCCAATCCCTCCGATTCTTACAGATAAAGATACGCAGCAAAGGTCTTAATGTGCGATTTACGCGCTCGACAGGATTAGATTGGGGGTGATAAGGAGGAGTACGGATAGGAGTGATACCAGCATCTTGTAAATTTCGCTCCAGCAATTTTGAAGTCAAATCCTTGGCGTTGTCACTGAGGAAATAACGTGGAGTGCCTCATCTACAAAGCACTTGGAATCTGATGGTTTCCCATACATATGACGCGCGAGTCCGGAGAAGTGGACAGGCCTCGATATATTTGATAAACAAATCTTGCATTACCAAAATATACGCATTCCTCTTGGTGCTGAGCGGAAAGGGGCCCATGATGTCAGCAGCCACCACGGTCTAAGGGTACTCGACCGATCGTTTCCTCATCAGGCCAGCAGGTGGTTGCTGATGAAATTTGTATTGCTGGCACTCGTGACAACTCCGGACAAACCGCGAGGTATCGGCAAACATACCATGCCAGTAAAAAACTGGTGTCTTTGTTCAGCCGTGAGTATGTTTTGTCCACTCCTAAGTATCCCGCCGGAGGCTCACAATATGCTTGTTTCATAGCATCATATCTCAGCTCCGGTGGCGGCACCAACTTCCACGCATTGAGGTCTCCGAAGATGTCCTCTACGAGCGGGTTGTGCAGGTGATGGTATAACAAGTCATCCTCGACCAACCAGTCGGGATAGTTCTCCGGATTTTCGGAGACCTCGTGTCTCTGGTGCTGGTACCAGAGGTCATCAGTCTGGTCCAAAGCAGCCACCAGGTGAGCCTCGTCTTCGAACATACCAGAGAGCGCGTCGGGGACTATATTCTCTGTGCCTTTTTGATATTGTATCGCTATGTCATACCTCTGAAGCGCTAATGACCACCGCCATAACCTCTGATTTCCCTCTTTGACATCAAGCAGCCATTTCAGGCTGGTATGATCGGTGACCAGTGTGAACCTTCTATGTAGGATCTGGATTTGCGAATCGCCAGACGTTTCTTTTCCATAACTGAGTAATTGATCTCCGGTGGCTTCAATACTCTCGAAGGGAAGTAGACGGGGCGTTCGCCTTCATCGGTGTTCTGCGTTAACTTCGCTCCGATCGCTGTCTCACTGGCATCAGTGTGGACGGTGAATGGTTTCTTGAAGTCCGGGCGTAACAGAATCGGTGTTTCGGATAACGCCTTCTTGAGCTCGTCAAAGGCTCTCTGTTGCTCCGATTCTCATGACCACTTCACGTTCTTCTTCAGTAATACGACTAGGTCCACTTTGTCCTTGGCCACGTTTTCCATGAATCGGGTGTACCAGCCGTTCATGCCGAGAAATCTTCGCAATGATCGAGGCGACCTCGGCTCTGGGTACTTCGTTATGGGTTTCCAAGAGGTCGGGATCTACAGACAGTCCATTCCGGTCGATGATGTCTCCCAAAAATGCCATGCGTTCACAGAGGAGCTTCGTCCTTGAGACCTTGATGACAGGTCGGGCTTCTGCTAACTGCTTCAGAACTTCTTGCAGGATCTGCTCATGCTCCATTAGAGTTGCTGTGATGATAACAATGTCATCCAAGTACGCAAAGACTCTTCCTGCGTACTTGGGTGGTATCACTAAGTTCATCAACCACTGAAAGACCCCTGGAGAATTGCAAAAGCCAAAGGGCAAGCGAGTAAACTGATAATGCCCTTTTGAAGGGGTCTAGAAGGCGAAGATCTCTTGGCTCTCCGGTGTGAGTGGGACATGGAAGAATGCCTGACTTAAGTCCAATTTGCTGATGTAATGGGCTTAAGATAGATCGTCAAGAACTCGCTCGAGTTGTTCAATCTGGTAGCCCAGCTTCTTTACCACCTTACTCACCGGACGTAGATCGAGACAGAAAAGAACGTCGCCCTCTTTCTTTACTATTAGCAAGGAGCAGATACTCCACGAACTTTCGGAGGCGACAATATAACCCGCGGCTAACATTCTATCCACTTCTTTACAGGCTAGCTCCAGCATCTTAGGAGAACATCTCCGGGGCTTTTCTCTGATAGGCTCAGAGTCAGTCAGCTCTACTTGATGTGTCATTAGAGGAGTAGCAGGTAATACTTCCGGCAGTTCGGGTATCCAGCTGAGGAGTTCTTCCCGTAACTCTTCGAGGTTCACATCTTCGTCCAGTAAGGTGTTAATGGCACTCACCCAGATGCGAAAAGATGCCACTTTAACCCTCGGCAGTAGCTGCAACTGATATTCTTGAGCGAATTCCTGAGGCTCTAACTCTCCGATCTGCCAGATTTTCCGGGCAGCATCCAATGCGATTCCCATGACCGTTATAAAGCTC